CAGCGGGGGTCTGATTGCCTCCCCCGGCCTGTGAAGTAGCTGCTACTGTAGTGGCTGAATTGCCTGAGCCAGGCCAGTGCAAACTGATAAGATATGTGTCAAGGCCTCCTGAAGACCCGGAACCACGATAGGCACAACTGATGCTGCTGGAGCATCCATAGCGGGAGCCTGATCCAGAACCGGGGCAGCCGGGGCATCAACAGGTGCTACCCTCGCTGCTCTGCCTCTGCCACGTCCACGACCGTGTCCACGGCCTCTGGTGGCCTCAGTGGGTGGCACTGGTGGTCGTCCACCTCGTCCGGTAGCTTGCGTCCTCACCATCTGTGAGAGAATGGAATATCAGAAGTTTAGTATTCGGACCAACAAGTTCGCACGACAAGAGTTTCAAGAATATGAAATTTTTCCTAAAGGTTCTGCAGCCTCTCGAGGATAAATACAGACGTCTCCGTACCGATCCGCGAGACTCTACTAAACCTGCTCATGACTCGTGAGACCTAAGTAACCTAGGCTCTGATACCAATTTGTCACGACCCAATCCCCGAACCCGGTCGTGATGGCGCCTCTCGCGGAGAGAAGGCCAGCCAGTCCAAAACGGAACACCTCTTTTAAACAGTTAATCATCATAAACAGTAGCAACATATAATATAATATTTATAAAATGCGGAATTTAACGATAATAACAGCAGGAACCATCCCAACACAGCCCAAACCGAGGTGTCACAAGTCATGAGCTACTACAGAATCTGCTATAGGTCTACAAAGACCTATCGGGTACATTCTGACCCTACACGAATACTCTATAATTAAGGTCTGATGTTGGAATCTCTGTATGCAAATGTTGCCATATTTATTCCTCTGTGTGTTATGACTGATAAATTTATGTCAATAGCATGCTTAATATGAAGAGTCTGCAAATCCGATTTATAGCTGGCTAGATCTACTTTCTCAATATATTTGGAAATTCCTTGAAAGCATGTTGTTGTCCTTTCATTATAGGTTTTGTGGTATCGTGTTTTGCATGTCATACAATTGAAAAGGAAAGGCTGGATATGTAATTAAGAAGTAGCCAGGAGATTCTTAGAGTTGTAAAAATGAATTCATGTGAATGTCCTTGCAAATTCAATGGGGTGCAGGCTTGGTGTTAATTGTAATAAAATGCTATAAGTTTTTTTTGTTGTGATTTGTAATCCACCTGTATAAGTGCAAAATAGCTCCTTGTCTACTGCTTGAATGAAAATGTTTGAACACTATTTTCTGTTAGTCGTAGTGTGTCAAGTTTTCCTTACTCTGCTTGGATAATGATTTTTTTTGTTCGAATGGTAGTTATTTGAGTTTTCTTTATGTATTATTTTAACTGATTGATGAAGTTAAGTTGAGTAGACAAATTAGTTCATTGATGATTGTTCTCTATTAAATAGTAATATCTTTGGAGATTAACTATTGAATTCTCTGAATAAGGATGGTCGTGAATTTGAGTGTTAAAATGATGTTTCAACTTTAGGGACAATTGGGTCAAAGTTCGTAAAGCTGGGCCGAATCTAGTGATAAAACCTATCCTTTCTCCACAACTCTACTTCCATAAATCATGACCCTTACAATAATCTCAAAGATTAGGAAAATAATTCAAATGCGCTAGTTGCTTTGGGCGCGATTACTAAACCATTATGGCTATGGGTACGGTTCCCGTGACATAGTTACGATGCCTAATTTCAAAATTCGGAGGTGCATTTCATGTAACCCGATTATAACAACTTCGAATAATAAAATCCTTTTTAATAATTTGAGGCGTGCCATGCCAAATAAAATCTCAAAACCCATGGCCCTCACTTAATTGGAATTTTATCCTTAGAAACCGAGGTGCGCCATTTAGCAAATTTTCCAGGACCCTCGCAAAGTTGAAAGTACGTAGTTGCTTTAGGTGTGTTATTTTAATAATATTACCTTCCTAAACTCGGGTGCGCATTTCATGTGACCCAAATCCAAATCTCAATAACGTTGAATAAAATGTGTTTCGGATTGCGGGTGCATTTCGTGTGGTGCGGTCCAAAGACATGTTTTAGACGACGTTAAAATCTTCCTTAAAATAAATAAAAGCGGTTTTAAAGTTAAAATGCACATAGGTTCAAAATGTTTTAAAATCAGATAATTATGCTAATTATAGCCATTGAGCGACCGTGCTAGAACCACAGAACTCGGGAATGCCTAACACCTTCTCCCGGGTTAACAGAATTTCTAACCCGGATTTCTGTGTTCGTGGACTGTAATACATAGTCAATCTTTTCCTCGATTCGAGATTTGAACCGGTGACTTGGGACACCATAAAATTATCCCAAGTGGCGACTCTGAATTTAATAAATAAATAATCCCATTTCGATTGTCACTTTAAGTTAGAAAAAACTTCCTTATATACACCCTTCCGGGGTGTTGGAGAAAAAGAAGGTGTGACAGATATTACACTAACAAAATAAAAATATTTATATGATAACTGTAATATAATGTAATTCCTTAAACTGAAGACAAATTGCTATTTGGTTCCAGAACCGCCGTGCACGGTGGAAGACAAAGCAATTGGAGAGAGATTACAATGTTCTTAAAGCCAGTTTTGATTATCTCAAACATAACTATGAAAATATAAAATATTTATATACTAGTTTTTGAAAAAGCTTTATGACAAAACTAATGAATCCAGGACAAAAAACTTCAGCTTATTTAGTGCTGAAGTTTTTACAAATAAACTAAATAACTTCAGCATCTTCTACTGAAGTTTTTGAAAAAGCTTATCCAGAACAAAAAAACTTCAGCTTATTTAGTGTTGAAGTTTTTATAAATGAACTAAATAACTTCAGCATCTTCTGTTGAAGTTTTTGAAAAGGTTTAATGGCAAAACTAATGAATCCAGGACAAAAATATTTCAGCTTATGTAGTGCAATTACAAACAAAAACTTCAGCAAAGAGACAACAAAACTTCAGCTACTATGATTAAGTTAAGCAATTACAAACAAAAATTTCAGCAAATAAAGAACAAAACTTCAGCTATTATGCTTAAGTTTAGCAATTACAAACAAAAACTTCAGCACACTTGCTACTTCAGGCCCGTCTACTAGAATGCTGAAGTTTTGCGTGATTGCCTTTGTTACTTCAGCTCCGTATGCTGAAGTTACGCGAAAAAAGTGCGTACGTTTGCAATTTTTTTTTACAAAGCGGTAATAAGTTAAAATGTGACCCAAAAAGCGGGTATAGATGCAAATGCCCCAAAGCCCAAGCAAGTCTCCTCCGGCCATCTCCCACGTTGCGGCCCAAGCCCAAGGATGGGCTTAAAAGCTGGTCAACCAGCTTTTAAGTCATTTTTTAGCTTATTGAGGTGTTTGGCAAACTTAAAATCAGCTTAAAGGTCAAATGCTTTTAAGTCAAAAGGTCCAAATTAAGCCAAAAGTGATAAGTTGGGTAATCCCAACTTTTTTTTTTCTAGCTTAAAAGCCACCCCTCTTTGACCAAGTATTTTACATTGCTATCCCTGATACTTATGTATAATTTCCAAAATACCCAATCATTTCTTTTTCTCCTTTCCTTCGCCATTTTCAATCCCTTCCTTCCAAATTTCATAATCTTTTCTTTTTCTCCTTTCCTTTGCCATTTCCAATTTGTGCCTTCCAAATTCCATCACCGCCGAACTATTTGTTTTGTTTTAGTTTCTTTTTTGGTTCCATAATATTTTTTTTAAAAGATTGTTGTTGAATCCCTCATTTTTTAAAATTGGTGAAACTATATTCTAAATCAAAATTTTCAATGAGTCTACATGTTAACAAAGAATTTGAAGCTATGAGACGAAAAAATATATTTTGGTGAAATAATAGATTATTGCATGTTATTTAAATAAATAATTTATATTTAGGCAATCAGTTTAAATTGAAAATGAACTAAATTATAATTTTTTTGTATATGTATTAATTTAGAATAAAATATTAATCATTTTCTTTATAGTGTTAACAACTTTAAGGATATTTCAGTCATTTTATAGAAATAAGTGCTTACCAGCACTTATTTACCAAACACTTCAATAACTTTTTTTAAGTTTCAGCACTTTTATCCAAACATTTAACTGCTTATTTATAAAACAAGCTCCAGCACTTAAAAAGTGCTTTTAAGACCTTATACTTAAAAGCCATTTTTTAAGCCAATCCAAACGAGCTCATTGACCTAGAGAAGAATCCCCCGTGCTTGGAATGGCTCAATTTGACCCAGAAACGAGTGACCAGGCGATTTTGTGCTACAGTAATCCCAACACCATTTTGCAAATCTGTAGCAGTTGGGGAATTTTTTTGGGAAATGGTTTGCTGAGGTTAGTGCGCAATTGAAAGGCGCATCTTTTAGTGGTGGTCCGGTGGCTTTTCACCGACGGACGGCGGAGCAGTGTGCATTAAAGCACGACTGCGTTACTGTTCACGGCAGTCGCACTGTACGGAGAGTTGACCCACATAAAAAAGAGGGTCGGATCGGTTAAATGGGTCGAAATTTACCCAAATATAATTTCATTCCCACTGAGCTACGTGAACAAATGAAAGAATGTCACATCATTTAATGAGAGGCCCACATAAAGTGCCATTAGTCGCGGTGTAATTTTGACAATAGAATTAACGTCATATATATTTTAAGAAGAATAGATGGACGGGATTTTTATAAACCATTTAGCATACGATAGGGGTACTTTAAGCCGTTTTCCAAATAAAGAAATTAGTACTCTCTAATACTGTTTCAACAAGAATTAAATGTACATGTTTTCTATATTAGCTACAATTCCCTATCGCAATTTTGGAACTATTACTAAATAAATCATGAGAAGTCGACAAAAATATCTGTCACGAAAATTTTAAATTCGCAAATCGCAACCAATGTGAAAATCCATAAGATTTCAAATATACGATTATTTCATGCATTCTGTGACATATTCTTCTCTTGCTAATCCTGAATATTTTTGTTAATTATAGAAATAATCTGCTCTCATGCAACCAAGTGAAGCAATATCTGCTGAGCATGTGCATCACTTCGCGCGCCTCCTTTCAAACTGCATCCGAACTAATGATCTCAAGCTTGGGAGACTCATACACTCCCGTCTGATCAAGACGGCATTAACCTTTAACACATTCCTCGCCAACCGTCTAATATACATGTACTCTAAATGCTGTTCCATAGAGTATGCGCAACAGGCCTTTAATGAACTGTCAGACAAGAACGCCCAATCTTGGAACACAATGCTGTCAGCTTACTCTCAAAAGGGTCTTTTTGAGAAAACCTTCCAGCTGCTCGATGTAATGCCTGATCCAAATGGTGTGAGCTTTAACTCAATCATTTCAAGCTTAACTCATCACGGGTTCTCTAGAAAAGCTATGGGGTTTTTCAAAAGAATGCAAACTCAATGTGGGAATGGATTTTTGATTGATGAGTTCACGGTTGTTAGCGTGGTAAATACTTGTGCAGGTTTGGGTGCATTGAACTTGTTGCGTGAATTGCATGGGTTTGCAACTGTGATTGGTGTGAGATTTAATCTTGTGGTTTGTAATGCACTTATTGATGCTTATGGGAAATGTGGCAAACCCGAGTACTCTTATTCTATTTTCTGTCAAATGCGCGAGACTGATGTATTCTCGTGGACTTCGCTGTTGGTTGCTTATATACATGCATCTAGAATGGCAGATGCGTGCTCACTTTTTTATCATATGTCGATCATAAATGTGGTGGCTTGGACTGCTCTGGGTTTGCGCAAAATGGAGAAGGAGATAAGGCTTTGTGTACTTTCAAGGAAATGCTGGAAGAAGGTATTGTACCGCGTGCATCCACTTACGTTGGTGTCCTAAGTTCTTGTGCAGACATACCTCTTATTGAAAAAGGTAAGCAAGTTCATGGACACATTTTTAGATGTACATGTTTAATTGATTTGTATAATGTTTTTGTAGTTAATGCTTTGGTTGACATGTATTCTAAATGTGGAGACATGATATCTGCTATGAGATTGTTTGAGAGGTTAGATGGGAAGGATCGAGTTACTTGGAACTCGATAATAAATGGATTTGCTCAAAATGGGAATGGAGTGATGTCTTTGTTCATGTTTGAGAAAATGATTGAAATAGATACAACGCCAAATCATGTAACTTTTCTTGGGGTTTTATCTGCCTGTAGCCACTGTGGTTTATTACCTGAAGGATTTCAATATCTCCATTCAATGGAGAGGAAATACGGTATAGTACCCCAGTTGGATCACTATGCCATCTTGATTGATTTACTTGGACGGAAGAATATGCTTGGAGAAGCTGCGAATTTGATCAAGAGAGCTCCTTGGGGAAGAGACAATATTGGAATGTGGGGCGCACTTTTGGGTTCTTGCAGGGTACATGGGAACTTGAAACTTGCTAGAAGGGTGGCAGAAGATCTATTTGAGCTGGAACCTGATAATGCTGCCAGGTATATTATGTTATCCAACATCTATGCAGCAGCAGGAAGGTGAGGTGATGCCCGCACTCTGCGAAGGTACATCTATGACAGAGGATTGGTGAAAGAAATAGCTTATAGTTGGATTGAGATAAACAATATCAGACATAAGTTTATCGCTAAAGACAAGTCCCACAGTCGGTTAGAAGAAATAAAAGAGTTGCTGCTTAAACTCGTAGATCCAATGAAGGATGTTGGATACATATTTCAAATTGAATGCTCATACTTTCTTGTAGATGATGCATTTTGTTGACATAATTGAAACAGGTAGTAACCATGTATAACAGTTTCTAATTTAACAATTAATATGAGCTCTGGTGGTTGGTTACCTGCTTTGCTGAAAATTTGGGAAAGGAAAAGTGAGGGAGAAATTTTGTTTTTTAAGATATTACTCCATCACTTACACTAAAGATAAGAAACATGATCATAAAATGTGAGGCACTGTAATTCAACCCTTGTTGCTTGAAGCTTCAGAGATATTAATGTTACGAGCAGCAGATAGATTCATTATTAACGTGCCTGTACTCACTTCTTTGGTGCACAGGTAATGTTTCTGTGCCTTGATTTAATGCTTACTATTTTGGTAAGAAAAATCTGAATGTTCTTTCACATGGACCTGTTAACTATCACAACCTATCATATTTTATGAACAACTGGCTTCATGTTGTTCATTCGAAGATCCCATTCCCACCATCCAAATGTTTCTTAAGGGAAAAATGGTATCGATGTCATTCCTACACTTCTCCTCAATCATGAGCTATTTAAAATTCTTAATGTTGTTAAGTGCCTCAACATATCTATATTATTAGAACTATATTCTTTTTGACACTAATTTTCTCTCAGTCATTACTATTGATGGCAGGTTACTGAATAGGCATTCCTTGAGTTAAGTGCAAAACCAGTCTACTCGAAGTTCACTGCAGCAATATTAAGAAGCAGGGGTAGCCTAACAAGGAAAATATAAATCATGGGCTAGAATATTCAGAAGGTACGACATGCACAGAGACAACTCTGAGGTATACTACCATCTCTGTTTAAATTTCTACTATGACAGTTTCTGATGTTCTGGTTGATCCTGATCCATCATGCCTCTAACCTTTGCATTTAACTTTGAGAGGGAATATCCATTGTGTGGTTCACAATTTTTATAACGCTTGAAGCTACTTATCTTCCAGACGTGCAGTTAAAAATCTTCAACTATTAAATACTCATTCTTCAAATGCAAAAAATAACGGCTTGTTAGGTTCTCCAAGCGAGGCAAATTTGGTTCTTAGAGAATTGAGATGAGGATTCTGTAGCAAATAAGGGACGATTTGCTGAAGCTTGAGTAATTTAATAGTAGTTTACCTCTATTAACATTACCTTTAAGACTTGCAATTGCAGAAGTTCCATCACTTTTTAATATTCATTCTTCAAATGCAGAAAATATTGGCTGCTAGGTTCTCCATAAAGTGAGGAAAAAAGGTTTTTAGGGATTTGATATGAGGATCTTTTATGGCATAGGACCATTTGCTGAAGGTGAGTAATTTTAATCATGGTTGAAGAAATTGAGGCATCAAAAACTTATGTTCCCAAAAGATGCCCTTGCATTATCCCCAGTCAAGCATCAATTTGAAGGAAAAAATATCTAAATGTTTGCAATTCTTTAATGTTGCTCCTCTCCTCCATTGCTCTTCACCTCCTACAAAATCTACAGCTTCGATCTCTGAGAACTAGCTGTGGTTCATGACATGCTTGTTCCATTTTAATGGTTTTTATTAATATCATCATTTATGATCCGAATGTGAACCATTGGCCATTGACGCCGACCATTTAATCAAATTGTTTAGGAGACTTTGCTCTACCCATACTCTTTATTCTTATTATTACTGTAATTCACTGTCATGTCATTTTTTGTTTTCACATCTTTGACACTTCAAATTGATAATGTGTAGCTTCAGTATTCATAGTAGTGTTATTTTCACAAGACACTCCAATGGTTTAGGAATTTGGTTTCTTTTGATATATGTTTGTATAAGCCAAAATATGCCCTAAGAAAATTTAGCGTAAAGTGGCATTACGAAAAGGGCCAGTCGAGGTCGACCAGGAAGCAGTGAGATTCACGATCGGGCTGTCAACAACGACCGAGGTCGAGCATCAAGAATAGAACAATAACGGCTAGTTTTTATAATAGGATGTTAAAGAGAATATTGTATTCTATACTTGTACTATTAGGGTTTTTAGGGACATGTCTCATATAAAGAGGAAAAGAGACAATGGTGTAAGACACGTAATATTCACTTGACAAGAATACTTCTTCAAAAGAAGATTCTCTCTCTCCCTAGCAAAGATACTAACTTTACCTTTTCATCAATATTCTCACACACATTATTCCACATTTTTCCATCAGATCTGAGAATAGTTCCGACATTATAGGATTCGTCTGTCATTTATCATTGTCAGGAGAATAATCATCTATCTCGTTCATTATTGGCTGAATCATTCTCCTTATTTACATAAATATCATTTATTGCTATTATTGAAATCTGTATCACTATAATAAATAACGAAACAGTAAACTTTCTGAAACAGAAAACAAAAACAGAAAGTTAGCAGCAACAAAATGTCGAAATAATGTCTGAAAAAATAATTTCGGAATAAATGGAGCCCACTGAATGCACAGTGTGTCTGATAATAGGCTAGATTTATGTAATTTGGCGATTGTTTATGCCTCAGCTTGATTATGTTTCACTGTGATAATATAGTTAAATGATGATAAATTGGCTCTAATTGTGAATTTCACACGTTACAGGAGTGAGTAGCATGTATGAGGCCTTAAAGCTGTGATTGGAGCTAAATTGAAGTAAGAAAAGCCCCTAGGAGCCGAGTACGTAGGAAGACGAGAAAAAAAAGAGATGAAATGAAGACCTGGACAAGCGCAACCACTAGCACGTCCATTAGCGCGACTGCGCTAGCCTAGATGGTCGAGGAAGAATGGTAGGGCATATGTGCGGTCGCTAGCGCGTCCGTTAGCGCGTCCGCGCTAGCCCAGTTACGGAAGAGTAAATTGCAGGGGTAAAATTGGAAGTTCGGGGGCAAATCCACTTAACCTATAGAAGGTCTAGCTCGCCCAAGAGAAGATTATCAAAGTTTTCATAGCTTAGTTCAAGGCAAGGAGAGGCAAGAGGCAAGGAGGATAATTCAACATCGAGTTCTTCCTTTCTTCCTTTTGTTTTTACGATTTGTGATGAATTTGAATGTTGTTATGATGAATCCTAGTATGAGTAGCTAAATATTTAGTCTAAGGTTTTGATGGAACCTATTGAAGGATGAACTTCTTGTTATGTTAATATAGTTGCCTGGTTTAATCTCTATTTGTTCAACTACGTTCTTGTTGTAGTTAATTGATAGGATCCTCAATTAGCTGTGCCTATTTAGTGTGCATAACTCGGGAGAGAGTGCATATTTAGGTAATTGTTGAACAACATCACTCCCAAAGTATATGAGGGATCAATAACTGAGGGTTTAAAGGCGGGATTAGAGATAACGAAGCCTTGGGTGCATTCTAAAGTAAGCTGTAACAAACAAAGCCAACTAGCGTATCTCAGGAGAGTGCGTCTAGTAAATTATTGTGATTACTCGGGAGAGATTAGGCAAATCTATGTGAACCATAACCGAAAGAGATTCCATCAATAGGGGAAATCATAACCTTAGAACCTTCTCTTAATTGTTTACAACTTAATCATAGTTAGTTTTCAGTTGCTTATTTACATTCATTCTTAGTTAGTAGAAACATCTTCAAATGTTATTCAGAACGTTTGGGAAGTTAATTCCGTAGAATTTAGTAAGTCTAACGAGAGTAATTGATACGTTAATTCCTTGTGGGTTCGATTCTGGGCTAAATACTCAGATTATATTTGCAATGTCTGCGTGTCCTTTTTATAAGGCATAGTTGGGAGGGATCAGTGTCCTTAAGGAAATTATTCCCCTCAAGTACCCGAGGTGCTATAATATTATCCTTCCAGGATAGAACGATTTAATTCACCGGTGTATTGGTACTAAAAACCACAGTGTCAGCGAACTACTCAATGGCAGTAAATCACACTATAATAGATTTGTGCAGAAGCAGAAGAAGTCTTGAAGTTCAGAAAATTCGTAAGAAAAGATTCTGGGATTCAAAGTATATTTATAGCCTTTCTGGCACTGTTTTTGAAAAGATTTGCAACCTTTCAGAAATAGCCATGGTTGTTGGAACAGGTGAGAATATTTGTCCAAAAAGATTAATCAATCAATCTTTGACCGAATTCGAATCCGAAGCCGAGCCAAGCAAGCGACGACGGCGACGACGCGAGACTTACTTTCTTTCCAACTCATTTAATACCAAGAAAAGTGCTTTCTCAATATAAGCAGATTAATTTTTCTTTCCACCACCAATAAGGGACACTTTGCTCTTTCCAAAGTAAAAGGGAACTCATTTTTCCTCCATTATCACTCATATCTTTTGGAATATTAAATGCGCATTACTTTCAATCTCACACTGAATTTATCTTATGTTATCCATGCTGTCAAGTTCTATATCTAGAGATATTATCATTAATTAAGTTTAACCCTTCATTACATAAAATGTAATAGTTTAACCGAAAATTTATATTTTTTGGTAAAACAATGATAGCTTGTGAAATTTTTTGAGTATTCAAGTCAAACCCCAAAGAACAATTGGTGGAGTAGTTCACGACTATTATAAATCTTGTAGAAGCCTTTATACTACCTATGTGGGACATGATATATCTCTAACATAACCCTGCTCTTGGGTTAAAGGTGTACTCATTTTTTTTCCCCTTTTTTTTATTGATTTTTGTTCTCACCTTCTTGATTCTAAGGAGCCTGGAGTGGCTCAGCAAGCTGAATATGTATGTTTGAATCACTTTTTTTTTTTTGCTAATTGTGGTGTCCGGTTCAGCTTGCGCGCACTTCGACTAATTCCACAAAATACCGTACACCTCCCACCAGTAACAGGTATCAGGTAACTCTGTCCATCAAGGCTAGGACGGATAAAAAGAAATTACCTAGTGTTTTCTCTCTGGAAATTGAACCTGTGACCTCACGGTGTTCAACCCACTTCATTGACTCTACACATCCATTTTTTTCTCTCCATTGGAGATCATGTTTCCAATAGATGAAAAATATTCTTTTTTAGTTTATGGAGGTATTCATGGTAAATTGTACGTAGTTATTTATCTTGTACTCTTCTTTTTCCTTAAATTGTTTGAGTTGTTTGTTCTAAAGACAATGGAGTTTCTTTTCCTTATTTTCCTGTTCAAACAGCCAGATTGAACTTTAACTTTAACCTCTGTCATGACTCATGATACTGAGATACGCTTTCATTGTATGCCCATTTAATCAAATGTTTCTTTAAATAGATGTCAAAGGACAATCACGTGTGGGTAACTAATCATCCACGTCTCCTTAAAGTCTTAAAGTTTCTCTCAGACCAGCTTGCTCAACTGAAAGAAAATGACTAAAATAGTACTCCTTATGTGTGAGTGTGGCTCTATTTTGGTCCTTTATATAAACTAAAGTATTAAGCATAAAAGCTTTCATGTTGCAAATGCTGGACCTATTTAGTCCTAAGCTAAATATAAAACCCAAAACTAACGGAAAAAGGAAATTATTGTATAATAGAACAGTGAAAAATGGTCATTACCCACTAAGCGTCAGCGTTCTTCGTCCTTCTTATCTTATGGAAAAATCTCCAACATTATGAGATTTTGAAAGCAACAACAATAATAGAGTAATGGTCGCAGCCAGGAGCCATGACTCTTTTTTTGTTGGGACAACTTAAAGAAGTGGTGGATGATAGATACCCTTTAGATTATTTTGCCTTTTAAAAAAAAAAAAAACTTTATGAAATTTGAGTATCAGTACTTTTTTGTTAAAAAAAAAACTATCTCTATTTTTTATTTTAGTGATTCTATGATGGATATATTGGAGATTAAGGATTAATCTATTAACACTTCTTTTTTCTTCTCAAATTGACAGCCAAAAAAAAATAAAAATGTAATGATTCATGAGAAAGACGGACGAAAAATACATACGACGATTATGACGAGTACCTTTAGTGCAGTTTTAAATCCGACGGTTCGTCATCGCATCCGTCAGGCCTTCTGAATTCCCCAATATATATATGTGATGAAAAGCCATCAAAATATTATCTGAGAATTCAGAAAAAAAAAAAAAGAATATTCAGAGTGGAAAATTTAAGCAAGCAGCAGTGGCGATGGCAGCTCAACCAGTAATCAAGGTCGTTGCGCTCTGCGGTTCCCTCCGTAAAGCCTCCTGGAATCGTGGTCTACTCAGTGCCTGTACACTCTTTTTTCTCTATTTCTTTTTAATAGTACTATTCCTTTTTTCATATTCCTACGGCGCGCTAGGCTAGTCTGTTACGATTTTGTCTTAGACCGCTAGTGGTTAATGTTGAGTTCACATTACTCTTTCGTTCATTTTAGTGTCGGGCTTTGTCTACTGGTTATTGTTTTGCTTTTCGTCTTTGTTCTTATGATGCTGTTATTTCTTTCTAAGGTTTATTGATGGTACTAATATAATATTTCTTTTCGTCTTCTTCAGCTAAGGGTCTATCGGAAATAGTTTCTCTATCCCTTGGGGTAGGGGTAAGATCTGCGTACACACTATCATCCCCAGATCCAATTAGTGGAATTTTACAATATGCATGCTTTTGGTGCTTGTGTTTGTTACTCATATTGTGACTTGTGTTTGGTTGATGATTGTTTGGCGTAGCAATGGATATAAGCAAGGATTCAATAGAGGGAATGGAGATTGAGTACGTGGACATATCGCTGTTGCCGTTTGTGAACGAGGATCTTGAGATCAACGGAACTTATCCTGCCGCTGTGGAGGCTTTTCGTAAGAAAATCGAAGATGCAGATTGTTACCTTTTTGCTTCTCCCGAGTACAATTACTCCGTCACTGGTATTCCACTTTTTTACAATGAAAATTTAGACACGTGTTTATACATATACTCTTTTATCATCAAAACATAGTTAGTTAATACCGTCCGGTCCCCAATAAGTGACCAATTTACTTTTTTATTTTGGTCCAAAATAAATGTTCATATATATAATCAATCAAGAAAGAATTCAATTTGTTTTTACAAAATTACCCTTATGTACATATCCCTAAAAAGTTTTCCTACTCCTCACATTAAATATTTAATTAAGGGTAATTTAGTCATGCTAGGTATTTTTGTATAAAATTTAGTATTTTCTTAATGGGCGTGACAAAAACAAATTGATCACTTATTGTGGACAGGAGGGAGTACACATTTTCACCTTAATTAGTATGTCCTAACAATGATAACATATAAATTAGTGTGGTTTGACATAAACATATAGTACTAATAGTTTTTTAGCCCCCTTTTCCCCCCTGCTACTTCTACTTTCCTTTTCTTCATTTTTTTGTAATTGATGCTTCACTTAATTATTTTGAAGCTCATTTAGACTTAAAATGATTATTCTTTCTGAAAATCTTACTTTGTTACTCAAAATTTGCGCATAAATTAAGAGTAAGTAGCAAAGTTACTCGTAGTATCAAAATTAGTTTGGCTCTAGGAAGCAGAATATGATGAAAGTTATTCGTTAATCTGTATTTGATGGTAAGTATGGATTGACATTTCTAATTATTTGATTTAATTAGGACCCTTAAAAAATGCAATTGATTGGGCATCTCGACCTCCAAATGTTTGGGGTGATAAAGCAGCAGCAATAGTGAGTGCTGGAGGTAATTTCGGTGGAGGACGATCACACTATCACCTTCGACATATAGGAATCTATATTGATCTTCATTTCATTAACAAACCTGAATTTTTCCTGAACGCGTTCGAGTCACCACCTAAGTTTGACGATGAAGGTGTGCTAACAGATGAAGAATCCAAGCAGAGACTTAGAGAAGTTCTTTTGGCTTTAAAAGCATTTTCTTTGAGACTCAAAGGGAAGCTAAGTGAATAGAGTAAATCTCGTCCATTTGATCTTCATCCAATATGGGATGATGAAAATTGTCTCCGGTTAATGTTTTCAGTTCTCAGTTTCTTCTTCTTTTTGTATTGGTAGATTTGGAACATCTGTTCACTTGGTTGGTTATGTCAGCAGGGTTGAAATTGTATGAGAGTGTTTCATTATTATATGGAAACATATGATATATTGAGTGAAAAGCTTTCCAAGATTATATCAGAATTATTTAAAAACAATAATACGACAATTATGCCTTGTGAGCACCTAATTTTTTATAATATTTAATTTTTTTTTATCACTTCTTTTATTTAAATATTTTAGGGGTTTTAACCTACAATTTTTAGCTTTGTTACACTTTTTATTATAGGGTAAAAATACAAAATTTAAAAGGTGAATTATTACTATTAATATTATTTTATTTTTATTTTTATTTTAAAATAATAAAAAAAAACCGAAAAAATATTAAGTTTTTTTTTTAATTTTCGGGAGTGATTTAAAAAATAAGAAAAAGGGAAGTATTGAATAAAAAAAATAAAAGTAAAAGTAGGTGAAATTCTCTTTTAAAAAAGTAAAAGAAAGTAGAAAATTAAAAAAAAATAAAAGTAAAGTTTTGTGAAAATTTTAAAAAAATAAAAAGTAAAAGAAAATTGGAATTAAAAAACAAATATAAAGGTATCTGAAAATTAAAAAAATTTAAAGTAAAAGAAAGTAACATTTTTAAAAGAAAAGCAATTTGTAAGTGAGATTAAAGTTGGAATTTAAAAAATAAAAGTAAAGAAAGGTGGGATTTCTTTTTATAAAAAAATAAAGCAATTTGTAAGTGAGATTAAAGTTGGAATTTAAAAAATAAAAGTAAAGAAAGGTGGGATTTCTTTTTATAAAAAAATAAAGCAATTTGTAAGTGAGATTTCTTTTAACTAAAAAATAATAAAATAATAAAATATTTTTAAAAAAAAAATGAAAAATTTTGAAAATTTTGCTATAAATAGAAAGAAAAAAAAAAGAGGAGAAGAAAAAAGAAGGGGGCGGAGAGAGCGGTATACACTGGATATACACTCTGGATATACAGGGACAGAATTCATTTTGGAGAGAGTAAAAAAGATAGAACCAAATTTTCTGAAATATTGAGAGCGGAAGAACACCATAGAGAGTTCAAAGTTAGAAAGAGAAAACAAAGAGAGATTTCCGGACTATTTTTCTTCTCCATTTTCACTGGTTTTCTCCGTGTTGCTGGGATTTCTGGATTGAGGTGTTGAAGTTACTGTGTTGGGCTTTCTGCTGTTGTATTTTGCTGTTTGCTGTTGCTGATTGCTTACCCCATTTTTCTGTTCTACATACCAGGTACATGTCCTGAAACTCGATGTATGTAAATATCCAGTTGAAAATGAATGAAGTGGAGGCCTATTGTTGTTGAAGTGGAGGCCTATTGTTGATTTACTGCTTTCATTATACTGTAATAACCGTACTGATGGACTGTTAATTATAAGTTTGTGCATTTGAACCGTTAAGTGTGTGTTAGATATTTAGAAATGCATATGAGTTTAGTTGAGTATTCGTTGTAATAATTCCATGCTGGACTAACAGAATAGTTTCTATTAGTTTAGTTAATTTCCGGTTTTCCTAGATCTGTATAAATGGTATTTTCAAGCTGCGATTAATTAGGCTGTAGACTGTTAAAGTAGTGTGATACTCCTTCTGATCATGGGAGCTTTATATTTAGTAGTGATGATGTGAGTTAATCTATAATTCTGAGTTTGAGTGGTTGTGTGTGGGTTCGAAATCAGAAAGTTAAAAGTAGATAT